CCGGGTCGCCCCAACTCTCCTCCCTATCTCAAAATGAGCGGGGTAGCCAGACCTGTGGTGTCTCGACCTTTGGGCATCTGCTTGTCGCTTGACCGGTCCGCTGGCGGCAGAGGGGAACGGAACCCCTGGCATTCCAGCTGCGGACAGGCGGGATTATAGGGGGACAAAGGAAAGAACCAGCAGCTCTGCCAGCCAACTATAATCTTTGGACTCACAACCAGTGGCTCGTCTAGTCGCCTGTCGCGATAAGATCAGAGTGCGACGCGGGAATTCCATGGGAAAAGAAGTCTATACTCTTTTTAACGACACTCAAATCTGGTCTAACAATGAATAACCAAATAGGGGATATGAACAAATGGCAGGGAGCAAGACACCTGTCTAGTGTCACGGGTACTGTTTGGATTTATCCTCCAAATCCTAAACCAACACGCAGAGTCACACAATCGGGTCGTAAAGCTAGTTTGCTTTGTTGCTTTTTCTTTTTTAAATTCCGAAATATGTTGGCTCTGGTTAGATCAGAATCAGAGTAATAACGTTAGGGATTAGTTCTGGAAAGTTCTCTTTTTCTTAATTTCTTTAGAGAGAAACAGCATTTTCTTCCACGATTCAGACGACATGAAAGAAAGGGAGTCAGCTCTATGTGGACATCTGCTACAAATTAAAGGAAAACTCGAACGATAAAACACATTTTCTATCTGTTCTTGTGCAAGACCACGTGGTCGTAATAATGTAAGTCACTGTCACGAATAAATCCTATTATGCTCGTTTGTGCTAGGCATTTTTATCGCGCCATTAACAAAATGACCTCGGTATTGACCAATATGTAGGTGAAGGCACTCATGGTGTTTGTGGTACAATAGTTAGGCCCCTGAGTTTGATCCACGTGTGGGGACGTGAAACATTGACAAATAATCAGAGGGCTGGGGACGTAAAGTATTTACAAATAACCAGAGGACTGATGACGTAAAACATTTACAAATAACCAGAGGACTGGTGACGTACAAATAATCAGAGGACTGGTGACGTAAAACATTTTGTACAAATAACCAGAGGACTGATGACGTAAAACATTTACAAATAACCAGAGGACTGGTGACGTAAAACATTTACAAATAATCAGAGGACTGGTGATGTAAAACATTGACAAATAACCAGAGGACTGCAACCAGTCTAGGAAACTGATTTAGTAGAGTAAAGAGCTGCTGGCGAACCCTTTTTTCCCCTGACTGTTCTCTTTGTTGTGTAGCCTACATGTGAGGGAGCGGAAGGGGGCCAAGGGGAAACGATTGCTGAGAACTATAAAGTATAGCCGCTATTAAAGGCTCCATTCAAACTTGAAAAATGCTTTAAGTCTACTCTTGCTCTTACATTTAATTTGATATAAGTTTCCGCACTGATGAGTTATTAAAATTACCTACAGGTAACAGAAAATACACCATGTACTTCCTGAGCGGATCAAAGGACACTTCACCCAATGACTCTGTACCTCAATGATTGTCCCTGTGGAGATTACAAAACCACCCCCGTCTGGGGACGACACATCGCTACTTCAAAATTACAAAGTTATATCGGACATTTTTGGCCTTTTTGAGTTGCTAAGACCGTGAGGTCAGAAACCAAATGCTCTATCTGCCCTATCAAAATGGTTAGATTATTCGGAGTTGTTATCAAGATATTCAAAGAATTGCATTTTTAAAAAAAGCTTGAAGTGATGTGAAACCCCAAAATCTTTGACGTCAAATTTCTCACGACTAGGTACTGAGCAGATAAAACGTTTAAAATCTGAGGTAGCGAAATCCCAGTGAAAGAGTAGTCAACAATACTTGTCAAAGGACGACGTAGTCCTTTTACGGTTGATGTCGTTAGTGTTTGCTGACAATAAACACACCGAGTTCGCGGTATGTCAACTGTTCATGTACGTGTTACCCTTTCAGTGTCTTTATGAAGACTTCAGAGTGTTTTATTTATGTACTGCGAGGTGTATAGAGATCGCCAGACAACTCTGGGTAGATAGACGTATGAAAGGATCGAGTTTTGATTGTGTCCTCATCTGCGTACATTTCAAAACAGATCGATCTGATGCAGTGGGAATGCCTAACGCGGTGGTAACATCTTGCCAAGGCGTGGCTTATAACACTCACGTGTGACGATCAGCGTTCAATGCCCGCAGTTTCCATACTCACCCAGCCCAAGGGGGGGGGGGACCTTGGCTTCTGCTGAACTCCGCGCTTTCTATGCCCACCCCCCTCCCCCCACAGTGTCGCTTTTGAGATGAATTATCATAATCCTTTTCTGTCGAAAAGTACCCCCCCCCCCTTCCTCCACAAAACTGAAAGACTGTTCCATTTCAATAAAACACCTCTATTTATAACGTTCTATAATATGTTGTTGACTTACCTTTTGATATTGTAAGGTCAGAAATGATTTACAACTAATCTCAAAGAGGAATGGCGAAGAAAACCCATCAACTAATACTATTACAATTAGTATATCTACTCAA